GTTGCCACCCGGCCCGTTGCCACCTTGGCCCGTTGCCACCCGGCCTTTTACCACCCTCGGCACGTGGCCACCCGGCCTTTTGCCACCTAGGCCCGTTGCCATTCGGCCCGTTGCCACCATAGGCCCTTTGCCACCCGTAACGTTGCCACCCGGTCCATTGCCACCGTAGGCCCTTTGCCACCCGGTCTTTTGTCACCCGGCCCGTTGCCACCCATAGTTGTATAGTAGGCCTATGCATTGTATCCGTAGAAATTTTACTCTCGGCATTTTTGCCAAAATATGTGTACTGAATAACGAATGAATTGATTGTTTGGCAGATTGTAAACAACGACAATTCGTTACGGTTAACCATCATGAAAGGCACACGTGTGAAGCTTCATGATTAGCGTTCTGTGATTCGATAAATGAACAATAGACAATAAGCCGCGCAAGCGGTGGTCTAGTGGTTATGACGCCAGACTAGTTATCTGGATCATGTGGGTTTGATCTCCACCGGAATCATTTGCAATATTTGTTTTTCTCAAGTATTTGGGAACGTATGGTACTGAGTAGTCAGTACGCCAACATGTCACCTGGCCTGTTGCCACCCGGCCTTTTGCCACCCTGCCCGTTGCCACCCGGCCTTTTGCCACCTTAGGCCCGTTGCCACCCGGCCTTTTGCCACCCTAGGCACGTGGTCACCCGGCCTTTTGCCACCTAGGCCCGTTGCCATTCGGCCCGTTGCCACCATAGGCCCTTTGCCACCCGTAACGTTGCCACCCGGTCCGTTGCCACCGTAGCCACCCGGCCTTTTGCCACCCTAGGCCCGTTGCCATTCGGCCCGTTGCCACCATAGGCCCTTTGCCACCCGTAACGTTGCCACCCGGTCCGTTGCCACCGTAGGCCCTTTGCCACCCGGTCTTTTGTCACCCGGCCCGTTGCCACCCATAGTTGTATAGTAGGCCTATGCATTGTATCCGTAGAAATTTTACTCTCGGCATTTTTGCAAAAATATGTGTACTGAATAACGAATGAATTGATTGTTTGGCAGATTGTAAACAACGACAATTCGTTACGGTTAACCATCATGAAAGGAACACGTGTGAAGCTTCCTGATTAGCGTTCTGTGATTCGATAAATGAACAATTGCTCGTTAATTAAAACAATGAATTGTTTATTAAATCGAATCGGATAAGTTGACAACTTTTTCGATTAAGAATCGATATTGATAAAAACGTTCGTAATTTATTTGATTCAATTAAATGAACAACTCAAGGTTTTCATTAAAAAGAAATTGTTCATAATTCGAATCGAAAACGGTTACAACTTATTTGTTCGATTCCTAATCAAATAAGTTTTCAACTAATTCGATTCTTAATCGAATAAATTTTCAAATTATTCGATTCTTGCATATAAGCTTCAACTTAACAAGGATTTGTAACTTACTACGTTACCATGGTGAAAATGTTCCTTTTTGGAACAAATCCCAACCCAGCAGCAAATCAATAACTCCCTAAATAGGTATGCAGAGGGTGGGTGGAATGTCGCGCATTCCAGGGGCGGATCCGGAGATGTCCGAAAGGGGGAGGGGCGAAAGTGGGGGCCGATCGAAATAACACAACCCCAGGGGGTCGAGAGGCATGCCCCACGACTTTGTTTTCTAGACGGACGAAAATAACTGAGGCGTTTTTGGCGATTATTTTTTTCTTTTTTTTTTCTTCCTTTTTTTTTTTTACTTTCAGAAAGGGGGTGGGGGCGGAGCCGGCCCACTCCCCACCCCAAAATCCACCCCTGCATTCCGATGAACGTTAGTTGGCCTAATTACCTAAAATAATGAAATGTTAGCCCAACATTCCTTCTCCTGTGATTTTTTTTATTGATATTTTTTGTTGTGAATGGTAACTTTAAAGCGAGGCTAAGCAGAAAACAAATTTGTTGTTAAGGCACAAAAAGGGTGTTTGACAAAAAAAAACCCGTTAACGATTAATAAGATACAGATTTTAGAATATTTAAAAACTGGGTGAGAAAGGTGAAAAAGTAGTAGTTCTGCCTCCCTTTTCTTCCGGTTTCTAAATATGCAAACATATGTACCATATAACACCCTTCTTGTGTCTTAGAAAAACCATTTGTACAACATATCAAAATTTCCCCTCGAGCTAGAGACTCGCTTTAAGGAAAACGCAACTAGAGGTACCTGCTAGTATTAGCCTTTTTTACTGGGTTTAGTGCTTTTATTTATTTATTTTTTTTTTTTTTTTTTGCAGTTACGAATTGAGAATAATGGCCGCACGTAGATGCGGGGCAGGTAGATGCATTCCCCTCCCCCTACTCTCTCTAATTATTCATCCCCGCAATAAACAGTGATAGGCCTACGTATTAATTTTATTTCAAATAGGCCTACATTACCGAACATTACGCAAGTGGTTTTTAACTAAACAAATTATGCAATTAGTTTAGCTCATGTAAAGACAAGAGCGATTGACGTTTAGATTTTAACTACATGGATATTATACCTATGTAGCACCAAAGTTCAGACTGAAGGCCTATCGGATGTCAACGCTTGATCACTCTGTTTGCTTGTGGGTGTCCACGCTCAAGGTGATCCACCTACTTCGTAACCCCGCCCCAAATTATGTAACCTTATCCGGAGTGTGAGCCTGTTTAAATCCAATCTATTTATATTTACACTAGGTATTGCGGTCATACAGTAGAATTATATGTTTTTCTTCCTTTTTTTTAACTTTCAAAAAGTGGGTGGGGGCGGAGCCGGCTCACTCCCACACCCCAAAATCCACTCCTGCATTCCGATGAACGTTAGTTGGCCTAATTACCTAAAATAATGAAATGTTAGCCCAACATTCTTTCTCCTGTGATTTTTTTTTTTTTATTGATATTTTTTGTTGTGAATGGTAACTTTAAAGCGAGGCTCCGGAGAAACAAATTTGTTGTTAAGGCACAAAAAGGGTTTTTGACAAAAAAAAAAAAAAAAACCCGTTAACGATTAATAAGATACAGATTTTAGAATATTTAAAAACTGGGTGAGGAAGGTGGAAAAGTAGTAGTTCCTGTCTCTTATCTGCCTCCCTTTTCTTCCGGTTTCTAAATACGCAAACATCTGTACCATATCTCATTAACCGTTTTTCGTCAAACACCCTTCTTATGTCTTAGAAAAATCATTTGTACAACATATCAAAATTTCCCCTCAAGCTAGAGACTCGCTTTAAGGAAAACGCGACTAGAGGTACCTGCTAGTATTAGCCATTTTTACTGGGTTTAGTGCTTTTATTTATATATATATATATTTTTTTTTTTTTTTTGCAGTTACGAATTGAGAATAATGGCCGCACGTAGATGCGGGGCAGGTAGATGCATTCCCCTCCCCCTACTCCCTCTAATTATCCATCCCCGCAATAAATAGTGATAGGCCTACGTATTAATTTTATTTCAAATAGGCCTACATTACCGAACATTACGCAAGTGGTTTTTAACTAAACAAATCATGCAATTAGTTTAGCTCATGTAAAACAAGAGCGATTGACGTTTAGATTTTAACTACATGGATATTATACCTATGTAGCAGCAAAGTTCAGACTGAAGGCCTATCGGATGTCAACGCTTGATCACTCTGTTTGCTTGTGGGTGTTCACGCTCAATGTGACCCACCTACTTCGTAACCCCGCCCCAAATCATGTAACCTTATCCGGAGTGTAAGCATGTTTAAATCCAATCTATTTATATTTACACTAGGTATTGCGGTCATACAGTAGAATTATATGATTTGTCAACACAACCAACAATACTGATCGATCATTCTGGGAGCATTTAACTCAACTGGAATTGAGATAGTCCAACATAAAATGTCCGAAAGGGGGAGGGGCAAAAGTGGGGTCTGATCGAAATAACACAACCCCAGGGGGTAGAGAGGCATGCCCCACGACTTTGTTTTCTAGACGGACGAAAATAACCTCTGAGGTTTTTTCGGCGATTATATTTTTCTTTTTTTTTTTCTTCCTTTTTTTTAACTTTCAAAAAGTGGGTGGGGGGCGGAGCCGGCCCACTCTCACACCCCAAAATCCACTCCTGCATTCCGATGAACGTTAGTTGGCCTAATTACCTAAAATAATGAAATGTTAGCCAACATTCCTTCTCCTGTGATTTTTTTTTATTGATATTTTTTGTTGTGAATGGTAACTTTAAAGCGAGGCTCCGGAGAAACAAATTTGTTGTTAAGGCACAAAAAGGGTTTTTGACAAAAAAAAAAAAAAAAAACCCGTTAACGATTAATAAGTTATAGATTTTAGAATATTTAAAAACTGGGTGAGGAAGGTGGAAAAGTAGTAGTTCTGCCTCCCTTTTCTTCCGGTTTCTAAATACGCAAACATCTGTACCATATCTCATTAACCGTTTTTCGTCAAACACCCTTCTTATGTCTTAGAAAAATCATTTGTACAACATATCAAAATTTCCCCTCCAGCTAGAGACTCGCTTTAAGGAAAACGCGACTAGAGGTACCTGTTAGTATTAGCCTTTTTTATTGGGTTTAGTGCTTTTATTTATTTTTATTTTTTTTTTCAGTTACGAATTGAGAATAATGGCCGCACGTAGATGCGGGGCAGGTAGATGCATTCCCCTCCCCCTACTCCCTCTAATTATCCATCCCCGCAATAAATAGTGATAGGCCTACATATTAATTTTATTTCAAATACATTATCGACGTTTAACGGATGACTAAACAAATCATGCAATTAGTTTAGCTCATGTAAAGACAAGAGCGATTGACGTTTAGATTTTAACTACATGGATATTATACCTATGTAGCACCAAAGTTCAGACTGAAGGCCTATCGGATGTCAACGCTTGATCACTCTGTTTGCTTGTGGTGTCCACGGTCAAGGTGATCCACCTACTTCGTAACCCCGCCCCAAATTATGTAACCTTATCCGGAGTGTGAGCATGTTTAAATCCAATCTATTTATATTTACACTAGGTATTGCGGTCATACAGTAGAATTATATGATTTGTCAACACAACCAACAATACTGATCGATCATTCTGGGAGCATTTAACTCAACTGGAGTTGAGATAGTCCAACATGAGATAGTCACGGGCGTTACGTTTTGAAAATGCGATGGGATCAAGCCAGGGTTAAGTAGGCCTACCGCACTTCTATCTGATATCCAATGAGATTGCTTAACCTGGTAGCTTGCGCCCGCCCACTTGCCTTACAGACTGTATATAAGTTATCCAGTGCGTGTCGAATTGTATAAAAGAAAACATTTCGTTACACTCAAGTCGCTAATCGTAACTACTTAAGGGCCTATTAAAATATAGATGTATTCCCAGGCTACGCATCTCGTTTGTATACTGCTACTAACTGCAAGCACTCGGGCTTGCTTGCTTAGTGCTTTACCAACAAATGGGACGGATCGCGCGCGACGTGATGGCGGTGATAACGACTCAATGCGCCCGAGAGAAGAGCAGATTGGTAAAGCTCTCGAGATGGCGACGAAAAGAACGATAATGGAAATGCTGTCGATCGATGAATCGTTTATCAACGAGTTAAACAGTATCCCTCTTGAAGAAATACCAGAAGATAAAATGAAAGAATACGACAATCTAGTACTACAAAACGAGATCCAGAGTGGTAAAACAGATATTGTTTTCAACATATCTGACAAAGGTAAGTCTAATTCAGTTGTTACCCAGATTTTTATAAACATTTCAATAGTAATAGGACTCATTGTAACCATAGTTACATGTAACCACTGAACATATGAGGTGCTTTATGAAATAGACAATATCGAGCCTTTTATCCTATTCTGACAAATGTAATTTTGAATAAATAATAATAATTAGAGCGCCCGGGGTGGATCTGGGATATTTCTGCCTAGGAGAGGAAGGGGGTGGTGTGGCGCGCCAGTTGAGGAGATAAGGTTAATGATGTTTCTTTCTCTACTGTAGTGGCCCATGTCTGTAATTCTAGCCGCTTAGTCATTGAACAAATTCGTACTTGGTTAGACACATTTACTGACTGCTGCCCCGGGAGCGCGCCCCGGGATGGGGAAGGGGGACCACATTGAACATCGTTCAAAGGTAAACAGCCACTTGCAAACTAGTCCTCCATCCATTTATCACACTTGCTGCAGATCAGTTTAAGAAAACTTGATTTGGTAATAAAGCTAATAAAACTGGAAGCGTGCCAAAGTAGGCCTATATAGTACAATATAATGTATTTAGCATAACAGTTTTTTTTTCTGTAAGTTCATATACAGATGTTGATGTAAGCATATTTAATGTAAATAAACGGAATAAAAAAATGGGAGTAAAATGAAAACGAAAATAACATTTGTTAGAAATTAGGGTGGTCGTTTGGCACAGGAGGGGTGTCCATATCCTAGACACGGTTTGTGCTGAACATTGCAGGCGAAGTTTGTTTAGAATCCTGGACATGTCTGTTGGAAATTAAAATCTAATACCGTTTTATATACATTTTTTTGCCAAATATATTATCCTAAACATGAGGGGAAAACCCCTATGACATTAAATGAAATTGTAAATTAGTCATTAAAAAAAAAAAAAAAAAAAAAAAAAAAAAAAAAAAAAAAAAAAAGGCATAGGTTATCAACTTTCATTAAGTCACGGATAAATGTGGTAAATTAGTTGTGAATAAAATTACGATCTGCTGCCAAAATTCAAGATTTCAAGGCTATTTAAATGGTATTCGTTATGTCTGTTAAATGGATGATGATTTTCTTGTTCTAACTTTAGATTATTAAGTAATATAGTAGTATATAGTATAGTATAGTACAACTATGGTAGGGTGAGGAGGTCTCGATGCCCCATTTGTAAAAAGTTCATCGGTGACCTTATTAAATCCACTTTAAATTCATGGATCCGCCACTGTGTTACTGCCTAATTCACCACCGGAATTGACTCAGCACACTGTGGATGCGTGGGACTTCATTGGTGTAAAATATATTACAAATTTAGCTACGTATACTCACGTAGGTCCAATTTAGTTACTTTACGTCTGAGCCAGCTCTCCTTAGCAACATAACATAATTGATAAATAAATTTTGATTCATTCATCTTAAATCATTAACCTTAAGAAGGGCCATACCCAGTGGAGCGGATTGCCGCTGCACTGCGTCTGCCATCCATAGGTCTTCCAACATTTAACTAGGCCCTACTCGCTTGGGACCAATTAAGTTATTTTTCATAAAAAGCCAGCTATCCCTATGCATCAAGTCATAATCGTAAGTAGCTATTGATTAATTTATGGCATTAATTATGTGTCATTACTCAATTGTATGCAGTTTTGTTGTTGGGAATTCCATTCTGAGATAACGATATATATACATTTAAACTAGTTGTCTCAGGCCCCATGCCGTGAAGGGGAGGAAGAGAGAGAAATGAAGCTACATATCACATGAAACTTGTGTGACTAGAAAATGTAGCTTAATAGTGAAGATTCATGCTTTACCACCAAACACCCCCCCCCCCCCCCCCCTCCCCACCTTGTTAGCTTTGCAGTAACATATCATGTTATGAACTTGAGCGTAGAAATGATTGAATTAAACATAAATAATGTGTACCATGATTTTTATACTGGATATACCGTACTGGATGATAAGAATAATAATAACAGATTCAGTGACTGTAAGTGTGTTTTTATCCTATTTCGCTGCTATAAAATTATGGGTAAACATTTTTAAAATACACTAATTTCTGCGCTCATGGTGATAATATGTACGTTTCTTCAAAATGAGCAAGTTAATTTATTTATTTTTCATTTATCATATGGTAAAATCATATGGTTTTTTTCATCATATTTTAATTTCAAAATATATTTCACTATTTTTTATAATATATATATATTTTTCATGGGACAATACTCTGTATTGCTTGCATGATTTCCTTTTAGTCTTACAACTAAAATAGCGACACTCTCTCACAAACTACCTCGTTTATTTAACATTCCGTAAAAATGGAACGTGCACGGGTCGCACTTCGCCTGGAAATCAAGTGTGCTTGAAAAACGACTGTTTTGAAAGTTGCCTTTTCGGCGTTCAAAAAGCAGGTGTTCTGCATTGCAAATTTACAATGAAAGCTCACGTGGCGCTTTATCCCAGGGTCCAGTATCAATATTTGCAAGCATTGATCAGGATTTCCTCTTACGACTAAAATAACGACACTCTTTCACAAAGAATAGGCATACTTCGTTTATATCCCGTGAAAAGCTGGTTCTCCGAATTTGAGAACGGCGTGCTAAGGAGGGTAGCGGCAGTAGCAGTAACAATAGTTTTACTGCGGTATGTGACCATTAAATGCGAATAAATAACGACAGAACACGTATCCGATTATGAATCGTAATGGGCATTGTGATAAAAGACATAAAGTTTAATGGACTTGACCTCGTAGCCTCGCTTGTAGCTCATTATAGCAAGCAGTAGTGAAATTATCTTGGACTCGAACCTTGCTGGAGGTACTGCAGTATATAAAAAATGTATATATTTACTTTATTGCCATAAGGAGTACTATGTCATGTGATATTTAATTTAGTAGAGTAAATGATACGGATAATATCACTTAAAACGATAACGAATAAGCGGTTATTATACGAATTTAGAAAAAAAAAAATACCGATTTAAAATTCGAACAGAGTAAGCTTATTATATGACCATGACAATAAAATTAACTTAATTTACCTTTTTTTTTTTGATTCGGACAAAAAATTTATGGCCATGACAATATTATTAACTTAATATCTAATGCAACAATTTACTTCAACTGGGAATTTAATTCGCCGTAGAACAGAGATTAGAATTATAAATCTTAACTCATCTATCAATGCGGGGAACACAAAGAATCATATTCCAAATTAATATGTTTGAAGAAAAAATACGATCAATGTCTGTTTCAAAATCTGGAAAACCCTTTACGCAAGCTGGAATATATATGCAATTAATGTGTTTATCTTTATATCTGATGTACCTTCACTAACCTTTATGGAGATATAAAGAATAAAATTATTAATGTATTAAAGATGTATTGTCCCCTGAAAGTGACAAAAATCATAAAAAGTAATTTTAAAATTTACTTGCTCATTTTGCAGCATAGAAATACTTAAATTTTTAAAAAATTGTACCGTGATTGTTGTACTTCATAATGATAATAAAACACTTCCAGTGACTGGAAGTGTTTCTATAATTTTTCGCTATAAAATTATGGGTAAACATTTTTAAAGTACACTAATTTCTGCGCTCATGGTGATAATATGTACGTTTCTTCAAAATGAGCAAGTTAATTTATTTATTTATTTTTCATTTATCATATGGTAAAATCATATGGTTTTTTCATCATATTTTAATTTAAAAATATATTTCATTTTCTTTTATAATATATATATTTTTCATGGGACAATACTCTTGCTTGCATGATTTCCTTTTAGTCTTACAACTAAAATAGTGACACTCTCTCACAAACTACCTCGTTTATTTAACATTCCGTAAAAATGGAACGTGCACGGGTCGCACTTCGCCGGGAAATCAAGTGTGCTTGAAAAACGACTGTTTTGAAAGTTGCCTTTTTGGCGTTCAAAAAGCAGGTGTTCTGCATTGCAAATTTACAATGAAAGCTCATCTCACAAACTAACTCGTTTATTTAACATTCCGTAAAAATGGAACGTGCACGGGTCGCACTTCGCCTGGAAATCAAGTGTGCTTGAAAAACGACTGTTTTGAAAGTTGCCTTTTCGGCGTTCAAAAAGCAGGTGTTCTGCATTGCAAATTTACAATGAAAGCTTACGTGACGCTTTATACCAGGATCCAGTATCAATATTTGCAAGCATTGATCAGGATTTCCTCTTACGACTAAAATAACGACACTGTTTCACAAAGAATAGGCCTACTTCGTTTATATCCCGTGAAAAGCTGGTTCTCCGAATTTGAGACCGGCGTGCTAAGGAGGGTAGCGGCAGTAGCAGTAACAATAGTTTTACTGCGGTATGTGACCATTAAATGCGGATAAATAACGACAGAACACGTATCCGATTATGAATCGTAATGGGCATTGTGATAAAAGACATAAAGTTTAATGGACTTGACCTCGTAGCCTCGCTTGTAGCTTATTATAGCAAGCAGTAGTGAAATTATCTTGGACTCAAACCTTGCTGGAGGTACTGCAGTATATAAAAAATGTATATATTTACTTTATTTGCCATAAGGAATACTATGTCATGTGATATTTAATTTAGTAGAGTAAATGATACGGATAATATCACTTAAAACGATAACGAATACGCGGTTATTATACGAATTTAGAAAAAAAAAAACGATTTAAAATTCGAACAGAGTAAGCTTAGTATATGACCATGACAATAAAATTAACTTAATTTACCTTTTTTTTTTTTTTTTTTTTTTTTTGATTCGGACAGAGTAAATTTATGGCCATGACAATATTATTAACTTAATATCAAATGCAACAATTTACTTCAACTGGGAATTTAATTCGCCGTAGAACAGAGATTAGAATTATAAATCTTAACTCATCTATCAATGCGTGGAACACAATGAATCATATTCCAAATTAATATGTTTGAAGAAAAAATACGATCAATGTCTGTTTCAAAATCTGGAAAACCCTTTACGCAAGCTGGAATTACTCAAGTTTGAAATCTTATACACATCT